TTTTTTTTTTTTTTTTTTTTTTGTTCTTTTCTGCTAGTAAAGTATAATAAATGTATACTACTTTTCGTTCTTTTCGATCATCCATTAAGTCCACGTAGCTTTTAAAAAAAGATTAATTTAGAATTTGATCCGCCAATTTAGTTGGTACATTTTCCATTAAATCCACAGTTTTTTTTCTTTTAAATTAATTTAGAATTTGATCCCAAACTTCAACTATGATGTTCGATATAATTATACCATCAAATTTTTAATTATCATTTGTTCAACTGACCGACCATTTTAACTATCGCTTGATTCATTCCGCACATTTTAACTATCGTTTGATCTATTTATTAGTTGATTGATCAAATAAAAAGTTCCAAAATACAAGAACTTATTAATCAAATTAAAAGTTTGAGAGTGTAATTGTATCTGGAGTCTATACATTTTATTTAGTTATTCAACTTAATTAGCAACATACATTTCATCCTAAAAAAGTCATCTTTTACTCAACAATGTCTTTGGATAAAAATACTAACTTTAGAACCCTCCATTAGATAATGAACTATTGGTTCTAAGCCATCTCTAGTGACGAACCAATAATCCGAAGTACTTTTCTTGCATATTCTTGATAAACCGTTTATATATACATATAGAAAGATCTAACCTATGGGTGGGTTTTTCAATAATTATTTTAATATCTAAAATAGACTCATGCTAATTAAATCTAAATTTAAAAAAATTGAAAAATAAATTAATTCAATCCATTCAAAATCTATAATTTAGTTAAATTTCATAAATCATCTCATAATATGCTGCTTCATATTATGATTTTAAGCCTATATAAAAAAATTATAAAAAATTGAAACATACAAAAGGGGAAAATCTTTTAAAATTAACATATATATATATATATATATATATATATATATATATATAATTTAGGCTTAAATACCCAATCACATTATTAAAACTTATATTAAAAATAATATTAAAGTGAAATGTTAACAAAACAGTTTAGAAAGAATTTTTAAAAAATAAAAATCCTAGAACCTAACGTAAAGGGAAGCTTTGGAAATAGGCTCTCGCAGAATCAGAACAAGACATCTCAACAGAATGAGGCCAACAACCAACAGGCACATCCCCTTATATAATAAAATGAACACACTATTAGTAGACGCCAAGAAACGACTTGAAGACTTCTTAAACACGTCCATTTATTCATGATGATATCATTATTATGACTACAAATTCAACACTCATAACAGCCTTTTACTATACCAATTACTAGAGACAGACAAGGAACAAGAAAATTTTAAGAGTTAAGGGCATGGAATAGACCTGAATAACCCGAACAAGCAACGCAGCTTGTAGGCCTCGACAACTCTTGGCAAGGATCCACATCATTAGTATCGACTAACCAAAATGAAATCATCGTCATCGAGAACCTGTACGTCTCTTTCCCCGATGAAATTCTCGCGCCCAATTTGCTTGACCAATTTCACAAACTCCTCCCTCTTTGCTTTTGGAAGAGGTACATAGGGTAGCCTAAACACAGGCCTCACGACCCCGAGTTGAGCGAGAGCTGTGTTTAAACCAATCGGGTTGGGTTCGAAGAACAGCCAGTCCATCAAAGACAATAGTTTTGCGTTAAGGGAAGGATTCTTCCCTCCAAACATAAGCTCTCTCATTAAACCCGGCACCAAGTTGCTAGTTACAGAAATAACTCCAGTTGCTCCATGATTCCACCTAGCATCGTGACACTGATCGTCGTTTCCACTCCAAACCACAATTCCTTGGTTGGTATACTGCTCGACACGATCATTCCCGACACATTCCTTCACACCTGCAAGATTGTCGCTTTGAGAAACAGCTTGAATGATATGTGGGGGAATATCTTGGCCAGTTCGCGATGGTACGTTGTATATAATCGACGGGCCCATAGAAAGCACACAATTGAAGTGTGAGATCATTCCTTCAGTGGAGGTTTTGCCATAATAAGGATTTATATGAAGAGCAGCATGCATTCCAACTGCAAATCCCTGCTCAGAAGCATGAATTGCTTCTCTTGTAGAGTTACTTCCAGTGTTGCCTATTACCTTGATTGATCCACCAAAACAGTTGACAGTGTGACCAATAAGCATTATGTGTTCATGCCAGCTCATCAACTGACCTTCACCAGTTGTGCCACCCACAATCACACCTTCAACGCCATTTTCAATCTGCCGATTCAGCAAGGCATCATAAGCTTCTAGATCGAACCTACCATCGGGAAGATACGGTGTTTTACAGGCAGTTATAAGTCTAAGAGACTTGATATCATCTGTTGATGTCCTGCAAATGAGAGTTGGAGAAATTGAGCCAAATCCAGGATTGTTCATAAACTTTCTTTCTCATATTCGAACAGTTGTCTAACCAAACTATATTCCAATGCGAATAAATAATCCTAACTCAGCTGATACACCAGCACAGATTCATTTCACAAATATTCTAGAGCCAGGGAAACCATTTAGATATTAATTACATAAGTCAACAGAAGGATGTCAATNGGATGTCAATAGCTAGTCAACATTAAAGAAAAAAACGTGTGGTGGGATATGAACAAAGTTGGTCATTTAAATCTTTCTCAGACAGCAATGATAATGAAGAACGGTTCAGTTGTTACATTATATTTAACCAGTGAAAGCAGGCAAGCAGATATTGTCCTCTTTGGGCTTTTCCTTTCGGGCTTCCCCTCAAGGGTTTTAAAATGCTATCTTCTAGGGAGAGGTTTCTCCACCCTTATAAAGAATGCTTCATTCTCCTCCCCAACTAATGTGGGATCTCACAATCCACCCCCATTCGGGACCCAGTGTCCTTGTTGGCACACCGCCTCATGCTCATCCTCTTTCGGGGCTCAGCCTCCTCGATGACACATCGCCTGGTATCTGGCTCTGATGCCATTTGTAACAGCCCAAGTTCACTGCTAGCCAATATTTTCCTCTTTGGGTTTTTTCCCTTTTGGGCTTCCTCTCAAGGTTNAACGCCATTTTCAATCTGCCGATTCAGCAAGGCATCATAAGCTTCTAGATCGAACCTACCATCGGGAAGATACGGTGTTTTACAGGCAGTTATAAGTCTAAGAGACTTGATATCATCTGTTGACGTCCTGCAAATGAGAGTTGGAGAAATTGAGCCAAATCCAGGATTGTTCATAAACTTTCTTTCTCATATTCGAACAGTTGTCTAACCAAATTATATTCCAATGCGAATAAATAATCCTAACTCAGCTGATACACCAGCACAGATTCATTTCACAAATATTCTAGAGCCAGGGAAACCATTTAGATATTAATTACATAAGTCAACAGAAGGATGTCAATAGCTAGTCAACATTAAAGAAAAAAACGTGTGGTGGGATATGAACAAAGTTGGTCATTTAAATCTTTCTCAGACAGCAATGATAATGAAGAACGGTTCAGTTGTTACATTATATTTAATAGCAGGCAAGCAGATATTGTCCTCTTTGGGCTTTTCCTTTCGGGCTTCCCCTCAAGGGTTTTAAAATGCTATCTGCTAGGGAGAGGTTTCTCCACCCTTATAAAGAATGCTTCATTCTCCTCCCCAACTAATGTGGGATCTCACAATCCACCCCCATTCGGGACCCAGTGTCCTTGTTGGCACACCGCCTCATGCTCATCCTCTTTCGAGGCTCAGCCTCCTCGATGACACATCGCCTGGTATCTGGCTCTGATGCCATTTGTAACAGCCCAAGTTCACTGCTAGCCAATATTTTCCTCTTTGGGTTTTTTCCCTTTTGGGCTTCCTCTCAAGGTTTTTAAAATGCGTCTGTTAGGGAGAGGTTTCCACCCCCTACAAAGAATGATTCGTTCTCCTCCCCAACCGACGTGGGATCTCACACAATCTTGTGCTACCATATATCCACCAATTGAGGAAACTTGAGCTCGTTGATTAAAAATGATTTTAATAGTTCAAATACTATTATGAACTGGAGAAAACAGAAAGCCAACTGATAAGAAGACGAGAAACAAGTAAAGCCAAATGCAACCTAATGCAAACAGCCCACATGTAAACACAATTAGAAATACCATCTACAGACATTAACACAGTTCCCAACTTAATATCCATGAGAGAGTAATTTGGCATAGAAAGAATTCAATAAATTAAATAGTTCACCTGTTCTTGACTTCCAAACTGCGCATTGGAAGATGTAAATCGGGTAGGATGGCAGCTCGTGGAGACCTCCATCTGACAGTCCTCTTGGTACATTGTCTGACAGTAATGAAGTAACATTACATAATTTGACAAGATATCGATCAGAAAACCCTCCATTTCTAATTCAACCATTCATTCACAATGAACCAAATTGATATTCTACGTTACCTTCCATTTACACTAAGAAAATAAAAACTTTTGAAGGCAACTAGATCGAATTGCGATCAACCCTCGAAGAAGTAACTCTGTTCGCGTCAGTTTAAAGCTTATTGGCCAGCATCAATCAGTGCGGATAAACTATTCATTTCTTACAAATAAAATATATCAAGCCAGCTACAAAAATGACGTATGAGAATTCAAATCAAGTAAAACCAAATAACTTAACGCGTTGTTTAATAACAAGACCGAAAATCGTAGGTATACCTCGGGCATCTATCCTTGCAATTGGGACGCGGAAACTGAAGAGCTTGCTCCCGCAAGCACGCGCCGTAGCCTTCAACAGTTGTCATCTGGAACAGCCAACCGAAAACAAAAACTTCCACAGATAACGAAGTATCTTCACGAACCAACCAGATTGCCGGATTCGATACCGGAAAAGGAAGATCGCCGGAGAAGTTTACAGAGTGATGATGGCGACGATTGTGATTGGAGCAGTGGTCGTAATTGTAGTTGAAATAGGTCCGGTGACAGAATGTCGAAGGGAGCAGCTGGCAAAGTCCATGTGATTGACCTTGAATGGAGAAAAAGCTTTGGATTGGAACAACCGAAGAATCGAAGCTTTGAAGGGAGAATTTTAATGGCGGTAAAGTAGAAATGAGGGATTACGGCTAGGGCTAGCGGTGGGATGGCGAAATCTTTGAATGGGCTCTTGATTTCGGGGAATGGAAAATTGGGCTACCACTCGAGTCCAATAACGTGAAATTTTAAATGATTAATTATTTTAAATAAAATCATTAAAATAAATTTATTCTAATTTAATTTTATTCATTTAAAAGGATATTATGAATAATATTCCTTATTTGATTTTATTCAACATCAATAGTAATTTTAAAAATAAATTTAATAAAACTACAAAAATTTATGCTCTGTAAATAATTATTATAATATTCGAAAGATTAATATACTTGTTATATTCCAAAAATTAAATATAATTAATTTATCTTACTAATTTCAACCTAAAATACATTTATTTCAATTTATTATAATTTCTCTTTTTTAATTCTCTCCCGTCACTAAGAGATCAACCAACACGCACGTTAGTTGCGATGTCACCTTAAGCACTCGACAACCGTGCACACCCGAACAATACTATATTGACATAATAGACTGAATATTAATCCAAGTACCTATTTCTAAGGTGCATATTTTGTTGATATAAAAATTATGTATACCGTAAAATATAATACATTTTGTTTACGATAAAATATATTATTTATTTTATTCTTATTTAATTTCTTGATTATTTATTCTCGAACAATTCTTAAAAATAATTTTAAAATATTTTAAAATTAATTTTTTAAAATATATATTTTGAAAATTAGTAAATAAATGTTTTAAGAACTAACCTTTTAATAAATTTATTAAAAACAAAATTTTGAATAAACGACAACAACTTAAACCAACCTAACCCAAAAAATTTATGGTTGAATTATGTTGAGTTTATTATTTAATAAAAAAATTATTTTCGTTTAAAAATTTACGACCCGAACAATTAGATTGGATCTAAAAAATGTCTCATGACCAACCTGACCCACGAACGCCCGTATCGTAGGCTAAGATATACAAGAATATTGTAATCTTCTTTCTTTCATGTCCACATATTCAACTTTAACCAAATCTCGTACTGTTTTAAGCATATTACAAAGCATGACAAAACGTCTCTTCATATATCTTTATATTTTCACAACAACGTAAGCCTCGTGGATAAGTTGGAAGAAAGTTCATTGTCTAGTTAAAACATTTTTTATATTTATATTTACTCGTTATATAGATATGTGAGAATAAAATGAGTAAAAAAAAAAAAATAGCGTATATATCTTTTAGCACGAAAAATATTTCTTATGAAATCTATCCTCACAGAATATATAATATACGTGTACATATGTTGTTTCATGGTTATCGGTCTAAACCAATTCAATGATTTTAAAATCATGAGGCTGACGACTATATGTAACGGGCCAAAATGAACAATATCTATTAGTTGTGGGCTTTGGCTGTTACAAATAGTATTTTAGTTAGTCACTAGATAATGTGAGACACTATTCAGAGTAGGGTTAAACCATCTTCGTAGTATACGCGTTTTAAAAATCATGAGGCTGACGGCGCTACATAACAGTCCTAAGTGGATAATATCTACGAGTGGTGGGTTTGGGTTGTTACAAATGATATCAGAGCCAGATATCGAGCGGTGTGTCAATGAGAACGCTGGCCCCCAAGTGAGAACGCTGATACGTAACAGGTTAAAGCGAACAAATATCTGTTAGTAGTGAGCTTGAGCTGCTACATTCCAACATGTTTTGTTCTCACTTACATGCATCTTAAGAAAATTTTCTAGAGGTCACGTAATATAGAATTGCTCCAAGCAAAACATGACTAACCATGAACATTGTATGATTGAGCCATCAAAAAGTTATTTTAATTTTTTAAATAAATATATTATTCAACCAACCAAAACCCAAATTTCCTACCAATAATTTAATAAAACTAAATTATAAATAAATAAAAAACATATGTTTGTATTAAATTTGACTTAAATTATGTTTACAGAAATTATACTTAATTTACCAATAAATAAATAGATATATATATACCAAACAAAAATAAAAAATTGAAAAATTATGAGCAATTCATGCATTGGATTCTATTTGATGATACTGATGTTTATGTATGTGACAAAAGCCACAATTATATGCATATCCTTAGAGACCCAACGACACACGTGTCTGTCATGATGCGTGTGAATCAGCAAGACGAATGTCTTAGATGATTGTCTTAACTTTCATGTTTTTACGATAATCTCAAAGATAATGTCAGAAGTGGCACGGGATCCTATATTGCACCTCCTCGTATGGATCAGGTTAGCATGTGGGTTTATCCTTTTGCACAATAGTTGTTGTGCCTCGATACTAATATGGTTGTTCGAAACCAATTTATATTTAATGCACCCAACTGAGAAGTAAGTCCCGATAAACATTAAAAAAAAAAAAAAACAATCTTGGCTCGGTAAGAGGCAAGACCTCTTTCGAGTTAATAAGTTAAGACAAACATTATTCGATAAATAGTAGGGATTGTCTCGAAAGTATCTAGTAAACTCGTGAAGCTAATTGTATCCTCGTTAAGCCAAACGAAACATCTTGTAGGCCCCTAACTATGTGGTATGGAAGACCTTGCAAGCTCGTTTCGAGTCATATTAAGGGTCATAACTCATCCATAAACTCGAGGAGAGTATTGCACTCATTCTCCTCATTGTTGTCATGGCCTAAATTGCAAACCATCTAATCGTTAAATTTGTCAACGTCTTTCTAAATATATTTACATTTCTTTTAATTAAAGTATGGAGAGAATTAGCCATCTAAAAAATTAATGGTAAAAAAATATATTATTATTAAAATTGTTTTAAGAAATAAATAAATAAGTAAATAAATAAATAAATAAAAGAATAAATAAAATAATTTTGAATGAATGAAAGGGCGGTAAATTATGAGTAAAAAAAACAGAGGCCCAAATCTAAATCCACATCATAACGGTCCCCTAATTCTTCAGCATTTAACTTATATTTTATTCTGATTTAT